AAAAAAAGTGCAATGTCAACTCTAAAATGGAAGCACAAACAATAGACAGGGAAAAATAAATAATGTCACTACAGTAACCAAGGACTGATGGAAAAATTGATTGTACTCAGCCGTAGTGTTACTGTCCACTGTAAAGCACAGCACATGACAAAGCAAAACAGTTACTAGTAGGATAGTACCATAAAAGGCTGCATGCTGAACTAAGAAACAAAGAAGCAGATGTGATTGATTGCTTAAAAACAGAGCTGRAAATTAGAATGAAGTTCCTGTTTTAGGATACTTGGTTTTTCAGGTCTGGTGGGCTATTTCCCAACCTGGGGCAATAGTATTTTGCTAGCATGGAAAAATCCATGGCTTTCAAAGATCTGGGGTCACTCTGTGGATTTCTGCAAAATTATCCAAAATCAAAGCATTCATTAATTTATATTAAAAAAAAATAGTTTTTAGCCCTTCTGGTTACAAAACTCTTTTGGAGACTTAACTGAAACCCTTATTTATAAATCTGCGCTGACCAGGCAAGAAAAGTAGTTACAGAAGCGTGAACTTCTCGAAGTTACCGTAGTTGGGCAATAAGAGTGAGAGGCCCWCTCAGGGCCACTAAAAATGCCCGTATTTTTAACCCTGGTTAAAAAGTCACTGCTGGCGGCTTTGCAAACATCCAGCTCATCGCGCTGTCCGCGGAAGTTGGCTGGGCAGACCTGTCAGCTGGACAGGCTGTGGAAAGGTACGCTACAAATAGACAAGTAGCAGAGGAGTCTATTTAGCATTTGCCCTTAAGACATCTGTAAGTGTCAGGGTTGCTGTAGCCACCAGCTATAATCATCGCACTCCTGCAGTGCAGCAGGGGCAGGAGTGCGGGTTTTCTAAAGAACATGGTCCAGCAGCAGCAAAGGCAATTCAGTTTTACTGCCATAGCATCTCTTGCAGTTGTCCCCTTGTGAGTCAGTGAAGAATGGCATCAGTATACAGAAGAAGGGCAACGTGAAATGAGAAAAAAAATACCTCCTTCTCCCCTTCCACGCACCCCAAACTGCAAGTCCACAGACTTTCCCCGAATCCCTCACAAATGTCTATTGCCTCAGTTTTTGCTTTTAAGACCCTTGTTGACTGTGAAATGAATGAAGATATAAGTTAGTTGGTGACCTGCCTGAAAAGAGAGGAAAGATCAAATGCTTTTGTTATTTCCCTGAAGGAAACGGGAAGAATCATAAAACATTTAGGAGTAAGRGTGCCTCCCTCCTAAGAGAGAAATTATTAATTGCATTTAAGCTCTGACATTTTGCTTCTGAATAGTTGTCCATCTCAATTTAAAGATGCATTATCCTTTTGTGTTCAGAGAAGTGGCACAGGGCAGTCAGTTCAAGAGATCTTTCCACAGAGTTCATCATGATTAAATAGAGGCAAGGGAGAGGATCAAATTGAAAGAAAAACAAGATGACAACTACAATTTAAGGAATTATCTTGCTTGTCATTGATAATAGAGAATCTCTTATGGAAGAAGTATAATGYAACTTGATGGTCCTCTTTACATTTGACTGTCGCACAAGGGTGTAAATATTTAATCTTTCAATTAATTAATCTTTACAAAATATCTTCACAAAAACATTTTACCTATAGAAATTAGTTTCTATACAGCAATATATTTTTTATTTTTATAAATTATTCCATCTTTAAGTGCCTTCTATCAATATAAATGATAAAATAGACAATCAAAAATTTTAAAGCTTTTCCCAGTTGTATCCCTCCTTGTTAACATAGGTGCTGTGAATCCTCATACATGTGTGTGTCCACATGGGAGTGTGTTTGTGTGTGTGATGTGAAATGCTTCCATCCTCTCCCACCCCTAAGTGCCATCAAAATAAATCATATTGTTGGTAGTTCCTGATGCAATAGTGCTTCCAAAGGGGGAAAAAAGAAATGCTTGACTTGGTTTTAGAAATCAAAAGATGTGCATAGTTACCAAAGTCGAGGTGTACCAACTACAAATGTGCAATGACAAGCTTAGAACAGGAGCTACCTCCCAGTCAAGTCACAGTGTCSTAACAGTGACCTCAGTAGGAAGTGGACCAGATACTCTGAGCTTGATTTTGCAAGGTGCGTGTGGCCCTGATCTAGCAAAAATGCTGAAGCCTGTGCTTAGCTTTGAGCACATGAATAGTCCTACTGGAATTGGTGGGACTGCATGGCATAGAGAAGGATCACAAGTGACTCCAAGTCAACAGGCTATTCATGTGTAGGAATTGGGGTCAAGTGCTGAGCGCCTTGCAGGATCAAGCCCTATATGAGGTTCAAGAGCTGGGAACTTCTCTAAAGCAATCAACACACTGAGCTCAGCCATTGAAATTGATCAAAATGTCCGCGTGGGCACAGGAGGTGGCTTAGCTCCCCTTGACAGAGGGTCTCCACGTCAAAAGTTTATACCTACAACTCGTGCTCTGAGCACACAACAGATTTGCTTTATAAGGTAGAAGTCTTTTTTGTTCCTACCCTTTGACCCATCAGTGTCCTTCATGGCTTCAMACACTTTGTGTTGTACATTCATCAAAATTCACATTGACTGCAAAGAACATAAATGCAACAAAAACAGGAAAGCCTCCAAATAGTATATTATAATTTTCTTCTAAATATTCTCCCGTCGTAATCAGAGGTGCAGTGGCTAATTTATAATTTTTCCTTTGAAGGAATCCAGATGAAAGGCCCAGATTGTTCTTCAATTACAAGTTTGCATTGATTATATATATCTTCTAAGCTCTCTCCTTGGACAATAGCTGCAGTAGAGAAAACATACCAATATTTCTTTTAATTGATAGATAAAGCATCCAGTGTTGGCAGATTTTCAGCATAMTCAGAGATACTGATGGAATGAGAAGGAAATGGCATACTGAGATTTTGATTATGGAAAAGTCATACCCCTGCAGATAACACACAACTTCAAATCAATGGCACCTGCCTATGACAGAGACCTCCTCCACTGCTTGTACTGAGAAGACTGAGCCAGGTGAGTTCAGAGAACTAGCAGTTCTGTCCTGAGGAGGGCAGCACAAGATGTTTCCACTCTTTCAGGTCAAGCTTTACATTTTGTTTCATCTAGAAACCACTTCTGCAGTGTGGGCAGCAGCAGATTTACAGCCTTTCTGACCTGAATATAGTGAGTTCACTTTTGGCTGCTGAAGTTAACTAGATCAGACCCACGCTGACAGAAGGTAAAACAACTGCAACACAAAGTGCAGTGGTTTGCCCCTTAATTTGCCTTGGCACAGATTCCTTCAGGAGACAAAACTTTTGAGGAATCAAGTGCCTCAAGTGCTCTTAAATTTCAAGGAAACAACACTCTCAAGACAGAAATCCTTACTCTGGGCTCACTACACTGATAGGTACTCTAGGTCAAAGACAGAGTTGATCCAGCTGTTTTGCAATAAAACACTGTATCTTGGAAAAATAAARTAGTATTAATAAAAACATACCTGTGAAATATTCTCCAAATTCTTGTTCTAATTTAATTGCTCGATCATAGGTTTTCTTTGCTTGCTCTTCTGTAAGACGTTTATTCATTTCCCTAGAAAGACAGGRGAAGTCATCAAAAAGTTTAGATTCTTGCTCAAACAGCTTTCAGAAGTTACGTTCAACTGAATCACAGATGGATTGAGATTGGTACAAGAATAAAATGCTGAAATACTCCCAGGAGTTCATGGACAGCTTCAAAATTTTCAATTTAATTTCATTCTTATGTAGTACAAAACTACTTTTTTAGACTATTTCTCCTTTCACATTTCTCCTTTCACATTTCTCCACCAAATTTTTATCTTGGGTTCACGATTCTACATTCTCAAACAAAATACAAGGCCTGCCTCTAGTAGCTGTTAACTGAGATAGACTTGAGACATCAGGAACCCATAGGTAGGTCTGGGATCCAGGATATCCCACACTCTGTGTACTCAGGATGTCTGCCTGAAGCCCCTCCAGGAACCTCTTTATCTCCCAGACTCAGCTGGTGGTCTCAGATGAATTAGGCTGTACTGACTGCTTATTGGGTGCCAATAAMTACAAAAACAAAGACAGAGAGTAACATTCTTGGGTTTTTTCCAGTGTTTTGCTATTTGATGGAGCATTTCTTTTTCAAGAGAAGCATTATTTAATAACTTTAAGAAATGAGGTGTCTTGCCTGTGCATACTCAGGTATTAGTACCACTGTATACTTGCAATGAATCAAGCTCATGCTCATTCAATGCCTTACACTCGTTGGCCTGCCGATGTTCAAATTATCAATAATAAATAGACTTCACTTGTTCTAGCATTTTTTCCCAGCATGGATTCATTTTTCTTTAAGCATGACAGAAATTTTCTGAGGCAAATAGAAGAGCAAGTGAAGGGAGCACCCTGTGTTCTGCATAAATCTGATTTAATGCCTTGCACTGAATCATGTGGTAATGGACTGTATACAGTATGCCATAAGTGATGCATATGGGAAATTATGGACATGATGATGCAAAAAAAAAAAAAAAATCTATAAAGTACGCAATAGTATGAACTTGCTGCAGCTAACTCCTACTTGGCTTCTGGAAAACACTCTGGAAGATGTCCAGGATGCTTAAAGCTGCCTACCTATATAAGTAACCATAGAACTAAGAACACTGCTTAGAAAAATCTCTTCGGAAGTACTAAAGACATGAAGAAAGCAGGTTTGTAAAAYGAAAGCTGAGAAATATTGCTTCTGCAATAATATTTCTTTTAAAACTGTCAGTTATTTGTAGATTACAAAAATAGGTTTAATATAATCTGTGTGTTGTCCTGCTAAATTTGTAATGCTACAAATTCTATTTGTTGGAAAGACTGCTAATTGAGTTCAAATAGATTTCACATCAGCTACACCGACTTGAACACCTCTTTAGGTGACTGAACCAAAACTTTATCTAGAAGTGTGACATTCCACYGCAAATTCCTGGGCAAACTTAAACATTTTCATCTTACAGGCATTTAACCAATATTGTAATGCTTACAACAACCTCCTTTCAGATCTATTTGTAGCAAATTAAATCTTCATCAAGGTCTTTGAACAGCAGAGAAGGTAATACAAATAAAAAAATATAAAGAGGTGTTTAAAATAGGAAGTACTTCGAAACAGGTAGAAATTTGTGTTACACTTCCAGGTTGTAGATTTGCCTGGGGTAGAAAAACTGTG